GATAAAATTTCTTTTTCGTGCAAATCCATAAAAAGTTTGATATTAAAATTATATTTGATTTTAAAATTATATTATACGATTATATTATAAAACTATATTATAATATTCCTCCGAATTTAAAAATAAATTAATTTCCATAACTTTCAACATTAAAAATAATTAAATAAATAACAACAATTTTGCAAAAACATTAAAGAACATAAGAATATTATTCAATAAAATTTTAGGTTACTTTGAATTTTCGATTTCCCAGAAATGTACTTTTAAATCGTTACTTTTTTGGTTTAGTACTTGTACTTTTACTTGTACTTTTTACTCGTTACTTTTTAAAATAAGAACTTTTTACTTTTTACTCGTTACTTTTAGTAAAAATACTTGTACTTTTACTCGTTACTTTTTAAAAGTAACGTTGCCATATATGATCACAATTGATAAAAGATATAACTATCATGCAAGCGATGCATAACTAAAAATATTTTATTCTGTACATTCAATTTTTTTAAGATATAAAAGAATGTTTATTTTTACGAGAATACTTTTTTACGAATAATTTGTTTCTCTCTTATATTAAATAACAAGAAACTAAATTCTAAACAAGATTCTTTTTACATAATTTGGAAACATGAACAGTTCGTAGCAAAGAAGGGAATAGAGAGGGGTGCTAAATTCATGTTATATATTTACAACTGAATTTCAGAATAATATATCGGACGAGTCTAAATCAGATGTTTATAGAAGAGAGGTGACTTTTTTTAAAATATTTTCTCTATTTTTTATATGATGCAGCAGATGCAAATTTTGTGAAAGCATTTTAATTTTGTTTATTACTTAGCACTAAGCATTAATTTTCGTGACAATACGAATGCAAAATTTTAATGTTTCTTCTATTTAATAGGTCAAATAGTTTTCGTGACTTATGTATTTTGCTGTTTTTTAATGCGTACGGCTTTTTTTTCAACTAGCTGAACCTTTAAAGCACACATATAGTCCATTTTTTTGTTCCTTAGTGAAACAGCAGAGGAATATTATAGTACCGTGACTCTCCAAATTCGCTCGCCTTCTCACCATCTATTTAACGAGAGATGACCACTTTTCATTAACATCATTGATCTTGGAGTTCCTATAAAAATTTAAAATTGGATGCAGTTTAGTAAAATAGTGTTTGCAAATAAATAAATCTAGTTAAAAAATATTAGGGTTCCTTAATGGTTTTCTTAACTAATAAAAAGAAATCACTAGCAATATTGAAACTACCTTTTTTTTTAAAAAGTTTTTGATGACCGTACGAATCTTGCATATTGCACTACGGTTTTACATATTAAACATATTATCCAATGAAACTCTATAACAGGGGTGGCCAACCTGCGGCTCTTTGAAGGATTATTTGTGGCTCTCGATAAATGTACCCTAGTTCCCTTTTCATTTTTGTGCCATTATATTTTAAAAAATTATTATCGTTCCGTATGTTCCGAATTTTGGAAATTTGTACCAGAATCGAAGTATCCTGAACTAAAAAAGGGTGCTTGTCGAATTATCTCAATATTCGGAACAGCGTACTTATGTGAATCATTTTATTCCACTTTAAAATTCGTGAAATCCAAACACCGAATCAGTCTTAACTAACCAGCATCTCAAATAATTACTGCGAAGTACTGTCACTAATTATTCATCAAATTTTAAAGAATTATCAAGAGAAGTAAAATAAATGTGTTTAATTTTAAAATTCAATGCACATATTTTTTTACTTTTATTTATATGTTTTCAATAAATATAATTTCTGTAAAAAAAAACTATAATACCTTTCTTGCATACCTTTTAAATACGTATTTAATTGCGGCTTTCGAAAAGTTTCAAATTTGGAAAAATGGCTCGACTATCAAGGAGCTTGGCCACCCTGCCCTATAACATACTCGATAGAATCCTGCATATCATCCGATTCTACTCACTCAGAGTTTGATGAATGTCAGTGTGCTAGCTGTGGAGAAGAATGCAGTACCACAACTAAAAGCGATGAGTGGATGAAATGTATGATGTACATGAAATAGTTCATTAAAACATGTACAAACTTTGAAAATCCTTACCAAAATTATAATCTAGTACATTTGAAAGTGATTGATTAAACTGCGCATTAGATTTTGCTGTTTATTAGATATTTTTACTTTTTTACAAGGATTATTAGATTTTAGTTCTTTTCAATAAAATTCATTCTTTAAGTTTTCCATGGTTAACCAGTGCTGTAGTTGGGAAGGGTACCCGGGGAAATACCGTTGCCCGAAATATTTAGTTTGCTGTAGTGAAAAAAAAATTAAAATATTTAAAAAAAGTTTTCATACCAGTTTTTTTTTTCATTCTCACGTTCTTTGTTTATTTATTTATTTTTTACCAAGTAAAACTGAAATTTCTGTCCGGTTCCGGAAATTTTAATTTACATTTACCGATGCGCAAATTATACCAAACGGTTTTGAAAAAGCAAGTGAACTTTCTAACCTGATAGGTAAAAATTTCGGGCTCGTTTACAAACGCATGCAATGAGAATAGTCTTGTAAAAAATGTAATTTCGGAAATGTATAAAGTGCTTAAAATGCTTGATTTGGATGCAGCTGATAAGCTAAATAAATCAAAAAATATTTTAAATGGATTTACGATAATTATTCAGTCTTTATATAAAGTTACTTTGAATTAATTTCAAGTGGTTTGTGAAATTGTAAATATTAAATGGGATGATATTCTGCCATGTAATTTTATAATTATAAAAACGTGGAATAGATATAACTTTAAAAAATTAAAAAAAATCCTTTATTAAAATAATTTTAATTTTTTTTTTACTCTTTTACCGATTATTAAAAATGAATCTCGAACTTTGTTGTCTCATTAAATTAATTTTTGAAATTCAAATATCACTATATGTTATGTCTAAATGCTCTCTCAAACCTGTTGAGAGTTTTCCCATCTATTCCGTCTATTCTGCTATCCGTTTGACAAAGAATGTGACATTGGAAGATTTTAAAAGCAGGGAAGCAACTGTACTGCGCGCCAGCAAAGATTAATTAAATTACTAATAGGTTGTAGTGAATAGCAACACTCTTGTAATGCATTCAGGCAAAATTGCAATTAATAATTGATTTCAAATCATATAAAAAATAAAAAAAACATTTAGTTTAAAGTATCGGACAAGTTTCGACACCATTTTTTTAAATATTAATATAAAGTTTCAAAAAACCAGTTTTTTTTTATTTTATTATGCTTAAAAGCTCATAAAACTCATAAAGCGAGTCTTATAGAAAATTATTATTATTTTAAGTGAACATTCTTCGATAAGGCATTTTTATGTATATCCGGTAAACACTGTAAAATAAATTCCATTAAATACAAAGAAAATCTTTTGATGATTTAATTCATCAAAAGATTTTCCAACTATGCTTTGAGCTATTATTTTAAAAGCAAGTGCATATACTACTACTAAGTTAAGAATCAATGTAATTAAGAAAGTAATTTTTTAAACAATTCCAAGCGTGTTTTTGTGAAAAAAGATGCATAAAAATGAAATATTTTCTATACCAATAAAAATATTACTTTCCTCTTTTAGTCTGTTGTTCAAAACATGTGTGCCGTAATCATAAACACACATGAAAATTTTTGACAAATATTTTAAAAACAACATGTATTTAAGGTGGTGTAAAATGTTAAAAAATCTGATTTTGAGATAAGCACTTTTAAGGAGTTAAAATTAGTCTTTCCCCTGTTATCACCTTGCACAAAAATTACTATAACTTTTCAAATAAATGTAGTACAAACAAAAGTATTTTTAGAAAGCTAAGAGTACAGGAGTTCTAAATTTATAAAAAACTCAATTTTGAAAATTTTGCCTAAAATCATATTTTTGAACTAGTCAGATAATTAGACCTTAATTTGTAATCAAATAAAAAATCCTTCCATTCAGTTTAAATGTAAGTTCAATTTGAAACTTTGACACTGTAATTTGAAATGCTTTGACACTGAAAATGAAAATTTTATTTGAAATAAAAACCACGATAGGCAAATTTATTGCACATAAGTTCGATCTCAATGTCAAAATAGATAATTTAATTCTGACTACTTACAAATGCTTCGAACTAAAAGAAAAACTTATTGAAGTAGAATTTAACTTTAAATACTTAAGTATTGAATTTTTAAAGAACTTTGTGCTATTTATGATGTACATATTTTATGCCAGTAACATCACAAATGAATTT